CGCCGGAAGTCACGGCGCGCACCTGCCAAATCGCCCCGGCGGGAAACCGCTCCCCACGCGGACAGGGCCGACCGAGCTCTACGGCAGGCAAGGGCAGCTTAAGGCGGCTCCGCTTTGAGTCAAGCGTGATGCTGTCGCTGACCAAGGGCGGGGCGGCCCGGGCAGCAGTGGCCTAGCAGAGCCTAGTGTTGCAACCCGGCCGGCCTGGCGATCCAGAGAGCTAGGCTGAGCCTGAGTGTTCTAATAGCTTGTCACCAGGTCTCCCCGGCTGGTTCCGAGTTCGACTAATTAATTAGGTTATGTCATTCTTCAACACTATACGCCCCGGCGCTATTGGGAATCTAGCGAGAGCCAGTCCCCGTGCAGGCGCTGGGATGCAACCACCTGACGGCCGCAGCCGGGAATTTGAACGAATGCGAGGAACGACCCAGTTCCGGGGAGGGTGGCGGGAGAGGTCCAGGAAGGCGCGTTTATTGGAAGATCGGGATCATTTTCACAGACGCGGACACTTGGACCGGGTAGAGCAGAGTGACGCCCTCTCGGCCATTCTGGCTGCCCAGAGGGTCCAGACCTTCGCTGGGACACACGCCAAACATCCTAAGCAGCGGGCGGCCGTTATTAGGCCTGCCGTAGGAGCGGGCTCACAGCCGTGGAAAAAAAGCGGAAGGAAGGACCCCACGCACCGCGAAGTGAAAGACGCCCGCAGCGTGCGGCCCGCTCTAAGGACGCTGTGGGCGGGACTGCGTCGGGGCGGGGCCAGGCTCGAGCCCAGTCTCCAGAGGCCGGAACGGTGAAGTGCCCGGCAGTGAGCGTACTGGACCTCTGTCCTTGGCTCAGCCGGCCGGACAGCCAAGGTGGGGGGCGCCCGGAAGCTGCCCGCCAGTCGGCAGCAAAACAAGCCATGGCGGCTATGGCGCGGCTATGTGGGATGCAGGCTCTGCGTCCTCTAAGCCGGTGAGGTTGGGCTCTGGCATGGTCACGGGGCGCTCTGGGCATGTGCGGGATCTCAGCGGAAGGGATTTCTGCGCTCCCTCCCTATCTGCCTTGTCTACGGATATGTCAGGGCTGAGTCAGTTGATCATGTCTATAGTGAAGCCGGAGATTTTGAAAAATCCCCAGATTGACTTATTTGTAATATCTAGTATTTTTTAAAAAGCTCCAGGTTTAGCGGATGCAAGTTTTGTGCGTGTGCGCATTTTCTTTTCCTGTGCAGCCGGGGAAAAATTAGATATTTATACATACCTTGTCTCCTTCAGGCTTTCTTGGAAGACACAGGTCAGATTCACCCACCAGAGAGCTTCATTGTTGTCCTTCTGGGAACTCATTCCCATGAGGTAAAATTCAACCGCGGCCGGGACCTCTTTGTGGGTGTGGGCAAAAACAGATGTGCATGTGACCAGAATAAAGTAAGACTGCTCCACATTTGGCTTGCAAAATTCACTACACAGCTTTTCATAGTTAAATTTGGGCAGCTGCCTGTCAACAGGCTCTGTCCCATATTTTGCTATTGATAATTTTTTAAAAATTAATTGTAAAAGTATTTTGAATAAATATCAGTTAGCCAAGGACACAGCTTGTTTGTCCATGGGCCTTCCTCTCCTACTCATTCTGACTCCCTGGGTACTAGGAGGTTCGAAGCCTAAAGGTATTTCCATCTTGGACCCTTAGGCCCTATACAGGGACTTTATTCAGTTTTCCCCCTTTTGGTACTGGTGATTAAATCTGGGGATGCTTTACACTGAGCTACCTCCCCAGCCATTTTTATTTTCTATTTTGAGAGAGGGTCTTGCTAAGTTGCCCACTGGAATTACAGGCCTGCCCCACAGAACCTGGCTAGGATTTGGTTATTTTTAATAGTAAGTTATGACTGGAAGATGTGTTCCTAATAACAGACTTTTGCCAAAGCTCAAAGATGGGAATAGTGTTAAGAAATACTCGGCCTGGGGATGTGGCTGAAGCGGTAGCGTGCCTGCCTGGCATGCGTAGGGTGCTGGGTTCCATCCTCAACACCACATAAAAAATAAAAAATAAAGATATTGTGTCCACCTAAAACTAAAAAATAAATATTAAAAAAAAAGAAATACTGACAAGTGAATATACCAGTCACTTTTACTATGTTGTCTTTTCTTAATCCTAAAGTATTTTTTTTAAGAGAGAGAATTTTTAATATTTTTTTATTTTTAGTTTTTGGCAGACACAACATCTTTATTTGTATGTGGTGCTGAGGATCGAACCCAGCGCTGTGAGCATGCCAGGTGATTGCACTAAGGCTTGAGCCACATCTTCCAGCCTCCCTAAAGTATTTTAATAAATCATAAATCCATTTAAAATGTGAATAATGAGCTTCTATCAGTTTGGTATTTTCACTTTTCAGTGCAGTCCTATGGCACACTGGAATCCTAAGATTAAAAATGAACACTTCACTTTAGTTTACTCCTGACACCCAACCATGATTTCATACCTATTCCTGGCACACATATCTGTTCTCACAAGGACACCGGGATGGAACTGCCACTCTATGCCACTGAGTTCATAGGATAAGAAACATGCACAACTTTTTTTCCCCAGAGTACAAATATGAGGCACTTCACTTATCATTATATCTCTCATGAGATGGATGAGGAAAACAATTAACATTTGCTTTTTATCCACTAGAGCAGAACCTCTGCGAAAGAAGAAGAAGGTAGATCCCAAAAAAGATCAAGCAGCAAAGGACCGTTTGAAAAAGAGGATCCGAAAACTGGAAAAGGCTAGCCAAGAGTTAATTCCTATTGAAGATTTTATTACCCCTGTGAGGTTCTTGGATAAATCAAGGTAAGGGTTCTCCTCTGGACTTAAAGTCCTGGGGGGTTGGGGAAGGAGTTCCATTAATTTCATTTTGAAGTTCATGCCTGTCATCAGAATGGGTCAGTATGTTTGAGTCATGTTGGCCCTTTTTGAGCCCTTGTTTCCTTGATTGTGCCTTTTAGAAATTGGAGAACACTTCTCTGATTGGTGCCCTTCTATGGCTAAGGATGGGAAAGTAAATCAAACAATTGTTTGATAAGTCCAGTGCAAACAAATTTGCATTGGTACTAATGCAAGATTCATGTTTTTTTTTTCCCCTTGAAGAATATTGGCTGTGATTTGTGACATGGGCCTTGGGTCTGCAGCCCTTGCCCCATCCCCACAATAGAAAACCCTCAGCTTTTTGTTTATCATGCAAATGCTCAGTAGTTGGTATATGTTGCAACTGTGTTGTATGCAGGGTTTGCAACTTTTGCTGCTTTCTTGAAAAGTGTGCACAATTCATAGAGCAGCACCTTGCCATGCAAGTGGAAAATAGCAGGTGTCACAGAGCTGTATTAAGACTCTCCCTGGGATTTTGGCTTTCATTTCACTTTTCTCTAGTTTAACATCACTCACCAAAGAGTGTTGCCTGGGGTTGAGAAAGTAATACCAGTTTTCTCAGAGTATACAAAAAACTTTGGCTTCTAGCATCCATTGCAGCTGCCACCACATTCAATATTACACTTCTTCCTTTGTCCCAAAGTTTTAACTTTTCTTTTCTAATTCCTGTCTGTGCCTAGCCAGGGGGGTGATTGGGTCATGTGCAGTTACACAGACTGCCTTGCCAATGAAGTCAGTACTTCCCAGCCTCACACTTTTGAACTTGTGCATTCACAGACAACGGCCTCAGGTGGAGCTTCCCTTTGAGGAAAGTGAGCGGAGAGCTCTGCTTCTGAAGAGGTGGTCCCTATTCAAGCAGCAAGAGCATCAGATGGAGAGGGATGCCATCAGAGCTATGCTAGAGGCCCAGCAAGAAGCTCTACAGGAATTGAAACTTGAGTCCCTAGAGCTCTACACTGAGGCCATCAAGCGAAACCTCAGCCTGTTCCCCTTTGAGAGGGAAGGGCCGAATTACACACCACCAATCTCTAACTACCAGCCCCCTGAAGGCAGGTACAATGACATCACCAAGATATACACACAGGTAGAATTCAAGAAATAAAGCTCAGCACAGCTGTTCTTAAACCAATCTGCCCCTAGGAGTATGAGGGCTCTTTTCCACAAGATTAAACATGCTGGTAATAAATAAAAATCTAATCAAAAGCCTCTGTCAAAATTAATTCATCTCATGGATGGGAGTGAGAGATACTGCTATGCCAGGTACTGGAAAGAAGATCACAAAGACATCAACCTCTACCTTCCAGTGGGAAAAAAATATGAGTAAAAAGAAAGATTCCAACTGGGCATAGTGACTCAGGCCTTTAATCCCAGGGACTTTAATCCCAATACTAGAGGGCAAAAAAAAAAAAAAAAAAAAATTTTATAGTCAAAATACCACTTGCAGAAGCACAAAGTAACCCAGAGGTGTGGAGGTGAAGGATATATAGGATTTTGTAACTGGAAAAGTACACCAGATGTAGGATCTTCATAGTAGGACAGACAGGAGAGCCAACTTTGAGTTTTAAAAAATTTTTGGGGTGGGGGGTAGGCATGTACTGGTTTGCACTCTATTATCGAGCCATATCTCCAGCCTTTTTTTTTTTTTTTTTTAATTTAGAGACAGGATCTAAGTTGCACTGGTAGCCTTGAACTTGCTGGCCTGCCTCAGCCTCCCCAATTCTGAAGATTTCAGATGTGTACCACTGTGCCCAGCCATCTTTAGGGTTTTAAGTTGGGGAGCGAAGCTGTAGAAGGTAGAGCAAACCAGGGACACCTTAGTTAAAGCTGCTTTGTCCTTCAAGAGATGTGAGGCCATGACACATTAGCTAAAGCTCCTGTACCCTATAAAAATATGTGAGGCTAGCTGAAGCCAAGGGCTTCACTATTACTGATCTGGAATGGTGAATTAAGTTAAGCTAGCTTGGACTGCCATAATAAAATACCACAAACTGGGTGGCTTAAACAACAAATGCTTATTTTCTCAATCGTTCTAGAACCTAGAAATCCTAAGATCATATAAGTAGAATCATAAGTGTTTGTCTTTTGTAACTGACTGACTTCACTAAGCATAATGACCTAGAGGTTCATCTGTGTTGTAGCATGTGTCAAAATTTGTTTTTTCTTTTTAAGACTGAATTAATATTCCATTTTATGGATGTACCACATTTTGATCATCCATTCTTCTGTTGATCAACCCTTGGGTTGCTTTCACATTTGATTTTTAAAAATTTATTTGTGGAACTAGAGATTGATCACAAGGGTGCTTTACCACTGAGCTACATCCCAGTTCTTTTTTTATTTTTTGGTACCAGGAACTGAATCCAGGGGCACTTAACCACTGAGCCATATCCCTAGCCCCTTTTTATATTTTATTAGAGATAGGGACTCACTGAGTTGCTTAGGGCCTCACTAAGTTGCTGAGGCTGGTTTTGAACTCACCATCCTCCTACCTCAGCTCCTAAACTGCTGGGATTACAGGCATGCTACACTACTCCCAACTCTTTATTTCTGGAGACAGACTCTCCCTAAGTTGCTGAGGCTGACCTCAAACTTGCATTCCTCCTGCATCAGCTTCCTGCATCACTAGGATTACCAGAGTGCACCACTGTGCTTGACAGCTTCCATATTTTAGCTATAAAGAATAATGCTGCTATGCTCTTTTGAGACTCAGCTTTCAATTCTTTTGAGTGTATACCCAGAAGTGGAACCACTGGACTCTTTGATAATTCTATTGTCTAATATTTCGTGGAAACCCATACTGCTTTCCTTTGAGGCTGAGCAATTATACATTCCCTCCACATAGTGCACCAGAGCTCACTGACACTTAATTGTTTTTTGTTTTTAACAGTAGCCATCCTACATTTCCTAATGGCGTTGAACATCTTTTCAGGTGTTTATTTTCCATTTGTACATTTTCTTTAGAGAGACATCTGTTCAAGTCCTTTGTCCATTTTTTAATTTTCACATTCAGCTTTATATATTCAATTAATTCCTTATCAAATATATGATTTGTAACTATTTTCTCCCATTCTGTGTGTTGCCTTTTTACTTCGTGATTTTTTTTTTTTTAAAGGGGGGAGAATCCTTGCACACGATAGGCAAGCACTGAACTACATTGCTCCCTCCAGCCTTTTTATGGGTGCCAGGGTTTGAATTGAGGGTGCTTAACTACTGAGCCACATCCCCAACTCTATTTTATTGAGACACAGGATCTCACCGAGTTACTTAACACTTCACCTTTGCTGAGGCTAGCTTTGAACCTCCAATCCTCCTGCCTTAGCCTCTGAGCGGCTGGTATTATAGGCATTTGCCACCTCACCCAGCTCTTACTAAGTTGCAGAGGCTAGCTTTGAACCTGTGATCCTCCTGCCTCAGCCTCCTAAACTGCTGGGATTATAGATGTGTGGCACCACACCAGGCTCCAGCCCATTTTATTTTGAGACAGATTCTCACCGAATTGCCGGGGGTGGTCTCAAACTTGCAATCTTCTTGTCTCAGCCTCTCAAGTTCCTCAGATTACTGGTGTCCACCAACTGAGTTAACTTTTTAAATAAGATCCAGCTTTATTCAATACGGACCAGTTTTGCCAGTCCTTTCCCTATTGAATCATTTTATCAAAAATTGTTTTGCTATATATGCAAGAGTTTATTTCTGGATTCTTCTAGTATGTGGTTTACTTTTGTAATTCTTACCAGCCCTGAATAAAAGGATAGCATAAGAATTTTAAGTTCTTTGGCTCTACCTCTGAGTCAAATAACAAATGTAACTGGTTCCCTTGACCTCCACTGCTACCTCTGAGGTCTGAGCTATTGTTAACCTTTTGCCTGTCCCACTACAGTAGACAACTGATCTGTCCATGTTGGGCAAGTTCACTCCAGTCCCTATCTGTGCAGTAGTAGCCAAAGGTCTCTGTAGAAAGCAAGTCAGGTCAGGTCTGTGGCTACCCACCAACCTGAGAATTCCAACCAGGCCCCTGATCACTGGGTTTGAACTCTGATCTTCCTGCCTTAGCTTCCCAAGCCACTGGGATTACAGGTATGCACCACCCACATCCAGCCCCAGCACTGTCTTAAGACAAGTTCTGGCTAAATTGCCAGTGCTGGCTTCAAACTTGAAATCCTCATGCCTCAGCCTCCCCAGTTGCTTCCTTTACAGGTGAGTGCCACTGTGTCTGGCTCATTTTAGACTCTTAACTGCAGTGTTGGAGATGGAAAATAGGGCTTTGTGAATGCTGCACAAATGTTCTAGCATTAAACTATTACCCCAACCCAAGACTCATATTTGTTGATGTTTGTTCTTTCTTTAAACTGCAATAGAAATTATTTGAAGGCAATTTATCAGTTTCAAGACTGCAGTTTTGGCTAGGCCTGAGGTCCTGTGTTACATATCAAACAAACACACACACACACACACACACACACACACACACACACACTCAAGAACATTCTGTGCAGATTATTTGTTTATGTAGAACTTGTTCAGTAGAGGAAGACAGACAAAATGCAACAGTAGCAATGCAGGAGGAGGACCTGAATATTCAGATAGAAAAGAACAAAAACCAGAATGTCTTTTGTGCACACAGCTCCACAACGGCACACAGCTCTGAAAAATCAGGTGGCAGGGAGCGTAGCTGTAGTGGGAGGAGTCCTTCATGGACTGGTGCATATGGGGGAGGGTCCCCTTAAGCTTTATTTGCATGTCCAGCCCCACCCTCCTCCAAGGTAGATGATACAATTTCAGATATAAAATGCAGAATCCAGGGCTGGGGTTGTGGCTCAGCAGTAGAGCTACAGCTCTCACCTACCATGTGTGAGGCCCTGGGTTCGATCTTCAGCACCACATAAAAATCAATAAAATAAAGGTGTTGTGTCCAACTACAACTAAAAAGTAAGTATTTAAAAAAATGCAGAATCCAAAATTCAGATGCCTTTTCCCTGTGTTTGAGAAAAACTCTTGTAGATCTTCAGCTGCTGCCTTCTCTGACTTCATTAGCTGGAAATGTATGTCATTAATACAGCCACATTCAGGCTGGATTCTCCCTGCTTAGCTTAGTCACATCAAGGCTATCCCGCTATGGTGGGGAAACCCTGACTTCTCTTCACTCCTCTGCTTTTGAGATCCTGTGAGCACATACCCCCCTCACCATTCATATGAGCACAGAAAACACACTTGGAAATTTTATTTGTTAATGCATGCCTTTCTGAAATGATCACTTATTTTGTTTCAAAGAACAAATCGAAAGATATTTAACCCACTGCCCATATCCAGGAAAGGATAGGAGAGAGTGCTGGACACATACCCAAAGTGGTCCTCAGCATTGCACTTGGAGCCAGTTACACAGCCACAAGGTGCTAAACCACCTTATTTAGTAATAAACTTCTAAAAAAAAAATTAGTGCTCTTGGTGTTCATATGCATATATTTGACATGTCCACTCCAAGACTCATATATTGATGTTTAATGTTTGTCTTTCCCTTAAATTACAATAGAAACTATTTGAAGAAAACTTATTAGCCTTAAAATAAAAGACCCAGCCCTTTTGTATTTGCTGCTTTTGCAAGGTTGGCAAGGTTGTTTTCTATTCCTATGTGCACTTCTTAAAAAATCTCCAAGGGCCTCCTTGGGAGCCTTCCATGAAGTTTCCTAGTGCAGAGGAGCCAGTGAGCTCCTGCCTGCTTGTCACACCCCATCTGCATCTGCAGTGGAATTGAGCATGCTTGGATGTCAAAGGCTGCAATACGTAATCATAAAGCCTGGGATATGGTAGTCTATTTCCCAATGACAAGGAGAGTAGTTCATATAAGTACAACTGTTTAGCCACCTCATTCTGACTTAACCAAGTGTCCACACTTGTCAGGGTTCTCACTCAAGTTATCCTGAGAATCCTATAACCCAGAGACTTATTCCTGGGGTAGGCATTAGTAAGTCTGGCTTCACTGCTCACAGGTACCTGCCACAATACTTGGCTTCCCATAATCTATATAGAGAGGGTAATAGTCTTTCAATGCATTGTGGTGGTAGATACCCTGATGCTGGTGAGAGACAAGCAGGTTAGGGCTACAGATGTCCAGTTCTGTGTAACAGGTTGAGTGGAAACTCAAGGGGGTCCCTCTCATTAGATGGTTTGGGCTGGTCACAGTTCTTAGGGCTGTGTGTCAGCTCCACTTGAAACAGACTTGAGGAAGCTGCACAGGCCAAGGAGAGGGATGCTTGTCACTCATTTTTTTCCTGCAGCAGAGGAAGGTGCCAGTCAGCAGGAGGGCTCTGCCTCAGGGCCCACACCAGGGTGTTCTTCTGTGCAGCCTGGACACGTGCCCGCTCACTCTCACAGAGGGATCGCTGTGCAAAGAAGATTCTAGGTCACTTTCTGCCTCATGGCTGAGTTCCAAGGACTCAAAAATTGTCACATGGCCCTGGTACCACCCGCCTCCTCCAGCACCCTCCTAAACATTGATGGACAAATGGAAGAATAGAGTATGCAGTTTCATAGCTCAATGGCTTCCACCCAAGAAATCTTAATGATATTCCATATTAGCACACATATCTAGACCATTCTTTCTCATAAATTACTGTGGAAAACTGTGTAGATCATTCTGATTTAAGGACTTTTATAGTTTGCTTAACTTTTTAATTTTTTATTGCAGTACTAGGGAGTGAACCCAGAGCCTGGCACATGCTAGGCAAGGACTCTACAACTGAGGTACATCTCTAGCCCTTTTTGGTTTTGGGGAGCAAGTTCTTGCTAAGTTTTTTGAGGCTCACCTTAAACTTATGATCCTTCTGCCTCAGCCTCCCAAGTGGCTGGAATTATAGGCATGTATCACCATGTCTGGCAATTGAGGAATTTTAAGATGTCTTGTCCTGGGCCTCAGGATCAGATGGCTTTAGCTGGCCTGGTAAGTCTGGGACAACTACTTCACTTGTTAAGTCTTAGGGTGGAGGCTCTAGGTGGGAATAGCCACTGTGGGGAGGAAATACAGGACAGACCACTGGGTGAGGCTGTGTATAACAGGTACCTCAACCCACCAGATTCTCTCAGCCACTAACCCCAAGACAGACAAAGGGCAGCATATTACAAAGTTGAGTGGGCTCTTGTGCTATGCAGGCCTCTTTACACATATAATTTAATCTATTTATCTGTCTTTATTCAAGCTTTTTTGTCTCAAAATATTTTTTTAATGCTAGGGATTGAACCCAGTGCTAGGCAAGTGTCCTTTACCACTGGGCTATACCCCCAATTCCTCAAATAAAACATTTTTATTTTATTGTTTAAAAAGCAATCAGAAGGGGTCTGGGGATATAGCTGAGTTGGAAGAGTGCTTCCCTCACATGGGGGTTCAATCCCCAGCAAAACACACACACACACACACACACACACACACACACACACACACACAGCGATCAGAAGGGCTGGGAATGTAGTTCCATGGTAAGAGTGCTTGTCCAGCATCCCCAGTCCTGTAAGGGTGGGGGGTGGTGAGGGGTGTCTCAGAAATGCACAGAATATGAAAGACCCCAAATTGCTATCCTTGCTGTAGCAGTTAACAGCCTCCCCAAAACCTTCTTAATCCCAAATTTTAAGGCTATTGTATGTTTCTCTTAAAATAGAATAATCTGCTATCTAATCTACTTCTTACTTTTTTCACTAAACAAAATCTTGTATACTGTAGGCATGCCCAGGTATTGCTATCTATCCTTTTTTTGGTTTTTTTTGGTACTGGGATTGAACTCAGGGGCACTCGACCACTAAGCCACATCCCCAGCCCTATTTTGTATTTTATTTAGAGACAGGGTATCACTGAGTTGCTTAGGGCCTCACCATTGCTGAGGCTAGCTTTGAACTCATGATCCTCCTGCCTCAGCCTCCTGAGCCACTGAGATTACAGGCGTGTACCACCGCACCTGGCTGCTATCTATTCTTTTTAACTGCTGTGCAGTTCTCCCCATGTGAAAAAAGTTATCTGATCAAGTGTCTATTAATGAAACTTATTTTTATTTTCTGTATTATCATAAACACTGATACGGTGAACATTTTTAAGTTTTAACTGAGCACTACTGTTTAATTACATCCCTAGGATAAGCTTCCAAAAGTAATAACAAATGTTCAAAAGGTGTGCATTTGATGCTTCAACAATCAGAAAACTAGACATTCCCAACAAAACTGCATGAGTGCCCCCAGACTCTAAAAACTCTTATAAACACTTTCCACTGGGCTAACAAATCTTCAGTCTGGCCATTTGCTTGTCTTCTTTCTTTCTTTCTTTTTTTTTTTTTTTGTGGTAGTGGTGATTAAACCCTTAAACCCAGTGGCACTCAATCACTGAGCTACCCTCCCCAGTCATTTTTATTTTTTGAGAGAGGGTCTCATTGATTATGGAGGCCAGCCTTAAACTTATAATCCTACTGCCTCAGCCTCCTAAATCCCTAGGATTACAGGTCTGTACCACCACACTTGGCTTGGTTTTCTTTCTTTCTTTCTGTACTAGGGATAGAACACACAGTGAACACAGTGGCTCAGAAGGCTGAGACAGGAGGATCATGAGTTCAAAGCTAACCTCAGCAATGGTGAGGCCCTAAGCAACTCAGTGATACCCAGTCTCTAAAATACAAAATAGGGCTGGGGATGTGGCTTAGTGGTCGAGTGCCCCTGAGTTCAATCCCCAGTACCACTTGAGCTATATCCCTCGTCCTTTTTATTTTTTGAGACATGGTCTCACTAAATTGTTAAGGGCCTAGCTAAGTTGCTAAAGCTGGCCTTGAACTTGCAATCTTCCTGTCTTAGCCTCCAGAGTCACTGGGATTACAGGTGTTTGCCATGATGCCTAGCTTGGTTTTCTTTTTCAATAATTGCTTCTTTGTACCTTTTGTCCATTCTTCTGTTCTGCAATCATCTCTGTTTTCATATTGATATGTGTAAGAGTTTATGTAGATAACATACAAACTACAAGCTTTTCTCCCATGTTTTTGACTTACTCTTATTGTGCATTTGTCATCATTTTATTATAGCAGCTTGGTTTCCAAATCAGTTTGTTTCAGAGTATTTAACAACACTGAAGCTCCTGGCTGGTGGTGTTGGCTCCCTTCTATGTTCCCTGGCACTCCCCCTGGATCCCAAAGAGCCTTCAACATGATAACTGTCTGCCCAACAGACATCTAGAACCACTTCTTTACTATCTCCCTGGTCTTCTAAGATATATACTCTCTGCACTTCAGCAGCCAGACTGATCTTTTAAAAATTATACAATATTATGCTTCTCTTTTAAACTGGACACTAGACTCTGAAGTCTTTTTCAAGGCCCCTCAGGTTCCTGGTACTCAACCACATCTCTAGTCCTCTACAGCCCACCCTCTCCTCAGGGCACCTGAGTCTACTTTCTTTTCCTAAGTCATGCCCTTGGGGTTAAGTGAAGTCTCTGAAATCAGGAACAGCAGTATCACAAGCTCTACCGGTCTGCTGTAGACTGGAAGGTCGGCCCTCCTCTCTCCAAACTATATTTCTGTTTCCTTTTTTGTTCTTAACGCCCTCCGAAAATCACATGACACTAATTTGGGATATTTTTCAAAATAAGTGAGGGGAGGGACTCCAGTAATCGCCTGCAAAATGCCCAGGGCCTGGGGGCTCCACACCGCACTCCACCCAGACCTCTCCCAGCGCACCTGGGCCTCGGTGCTATGGCGTTCCTCCCAGTCGCGACAACTGGTCAGGTCGCGCAGCCACTGGTCGCAGGTCGGGAGCTCCCCGTGGACATAGTAGTGATGCAGGAAGTTCCAGGCGCTGCGACAGAGCTTCCACTCAGCTTGGTAGGCCTCACAGGGTCGCGGAGGCTGAGGCGAGAGATGGCGTCTGAGCCGGGCTCTGCAGACACGCTCCACGCCCCTGATCCCGTCCAGTGCTCACCCTGCTAATCTACTTTCCTAGTAGGACCAGACCCCCGCGGACCCTTGTCGCCCACCACATTTACCATCCAGTTGTTGCCTTCGGCCATGTTGAATCTACTGCCAAGCCACAGTGCATCCGCCCACCACCCAATGAAAACTGAGGAGAATACAGTATGCGTAACTGACACATTCAAGAACCAATGAACTCCAAGAAAGTGCAACTCTTACCAAATACTTCCTGAGAAGTGCCAATTAACCGGACGTTTGAGTTCAATAGCCAATAACAGCCAGAGGCGGTGACACGAAGAAAGGCAGGGCGGGAAATGTGTTCCAAGAGACCCGCAGTGACCAAGGCAGACTGGTGTAGTCAGCTAGTATCTGACTGGCGTCCTGGGCTACACAGCCATGTGTTTGGCTGTCGCGGATATCTCAATTATTTACATCATTCTTATTTTTTGAAATCTCGAAGATCTAGTTCATTTTTGAAAGCACGTTCCGTAAGCATCAACTTGCAAGTGTTGCAGGGCTGCAGTGACCAGAGGTGAAGATGTAGTCACAAAATAACAAGAGTTGGTTGGGTCTGAGATATGTGCTGGTGGTCCTTGGGTGCAAGATGACTTCCCCAAGGAACCCAAGCTGGAAGAGGAGGCTGAGAGATGGGCATTCCCAGCAGAGAGAGGCGATAGAGGCAAAAGTACAGCTGGTGGGTCCACACAAATGCCTTGTAATACCTATGTAATGGCTCTCTGAATGAAATTCAATCATCTGCTGAGGAGCCCCTTACAATGCAGTTGCTGAGCTCATTCCAGGGATAACAGTGGGTCTGAAAGTATGTGAGAAAGCTACAGTTTTCCCAAGGGTCTTATTGAGATGGCTGGCTCCAAGTTAGGAGAAGACACTGCCTGTGAAGAGCTGTAGGCCATACCCTAGCAGTAAGCACCAGGCCCAGTGCTCCAGGTGACATAAGTTAATTAGCCTGGGGATGTAGCTGGTGGGAGAGCACTTGCCTAGCATGCTGAAGGCCCTAGGTTCAGTCCCTAGAATCACTTTAAACAAACAAACAAAAATGCCCAAACAGCTACCAGAAGGCCTTTGGTGCAGGCAGGGAAGTGTGTTTCCAGTAAAGAAGTAGGAGTTTAACTGCATAAAGCCAAGTATTGCTTTAGGAATATAAAAACCTAGGGCCAGGACTTAACATTGATATTCATTATGCACAAAATGACAATTTGTTAGCTATCAAGATCCTGCAAATGGAGGCTGCCTACTTGCTAAGGAGAGATTTTACCTCTGATGTGAAACTGAGACCACCTAAGTGGAGGATCTGCCAATGATGATGGTTTGTGCTACAGGATCAAGCCCAGAATATGGTACTCATTCATGCTCTGGGTGCATGGACTCTGGTGTTGCCTACCTTGGAAAGGGCATCCTCTCCTGAGTGTTGAAGAGAAACCCTGTCCAGAGTGTGATCACTTTATCTATAAAAGGGTAAATTCTGGTATATGGGGGATCTTATATGGGCCTGATCAGCTCTACTCCTGTTGTCAAGAAGCCTTGTTTGTCCATACTTCCTCCAGAAGGCAGCCCAAAGGAGCACTTTACTGGTTAGTGGCCTGACCACCAATCCGTGTTAGTATTTAATCAAACATTTAGAGGCAATCCACATTTCAATCATTGCCTATTTTTATTTGAAAATTCTCAATTTAGAATTATTCTCAAGAACTAATTTTAAAATAATTGGATTAGCAGGTCAAAAGATCTCACATTATAGAAAATGACAATTTGAGACCAAATTAAAACATATAAAAAATGGGGCATTGGAGGGTGCAGTTCAGTGGTAAAATACATGCTTAGTATTCCTGAAACCCTGGGTTCAATTCTAGCACAAACAAAACAAAACAAACAAAAAAACTGGCCATTAGAACCTTGGATAATTTAATAAATTAAAATTGCAAACTGTAAGGGTAGGGAAGGAGGAGAAAGAGGAACATATCTTCAGCATTTATTTATTCTAACAGTCATATTTGGTTTCATCATGGAGTTGTTTTATTATAGAATAGGTCAACTAAGGAACCAGTTATTTCCACAAGAAATCATCATATAGGTTTCCTTCATAGGTGTTGTACTTTTGAAAAAACTCAATATGTAAAACAAAAATAAAAACACCCTTTCTCAAATACTTAAATTGCAACCATAGGAGTGGGAGAGCCACTATTTACAGAGCACATATCTATTTAAACCATGTTTTTCTAAGCCAGATACAATGCCTATGCAACAGACCTGGGAAAAGTAAAACTGAAGAGAAAGAACACCTTAAGTTACAGCAATTCAATTCCTCCACTGGTTTTGTAAGAAATGAGGAAACTCTGTTGTGCTGAGGCAGAGTGGGAGAGCCCTTGAGCTGCAAGCATGAAGTAGTGAGGAGGTGGCTGACTATGGAACCTCAGAGACAGCTCTTACTCTTTCCCAATATCAAGTACACAATCACAAAGTCCTACTGCTCCACATCCAAGTCAAACTTGATAATTCTTAGGTAATGCTAAACAAACCTTAAGTAACAGCATTCTCTGATGATAGTCTCATCCTTGTCAGAGTCAGTAACTAAAAGCCAATATGTTGCAATTGATTCTTTTATTTTCCAGTCAACAGTCCCAACTTATGGTTTTCTTCCCTTTTTACGCAAGGACTGTCCTTCTCCAGAGAAAGCAACAAATCTGCCTCCAGCTTCATCCTAGATGTGAAGATAAGATTGTTTTCAGAAACTTCCTGGAGGTTTACAATGAATGCCTTATTCTGTGTACACATCAGTACCATTTTTCTTCCACATTATTTGTAACCAGAAAACTCTAAAATATAAATACAAAACCACAGAATCACAACTGTAAGTTGATTTTACAAAAGGTTTTCAGGTTGAATATACAAAAGTTCCTCATCTAGAAGTTGAAAAATATCATATTAAGTTAAAAAATATACTTAATACACCTAACCAACTGAGCACAGTGGCACATGCCTGTAATCTCAGAGACTCAGGAAGCTGAGGCAGGATTCCAGTTTGAGTCCAGCCTCAGCAACTTAGTGAGATCCTGTCTCAAAAAATAAAAAGGGCTGGTGATGTGGCCTCTGAATTCAATCCCCAGTACTACAAAACAAAAACAAACAAACAAACAAAAAAACACTTAACCAACCAAATATTCTAACTTAGTAACACATCACACTGTGGAATATTGGTTGTCTCCCCTCATAATCATTTTGCTGACAGGGAGTTGTGACTCAGACCTATTGTCTAGCATCAGAGAGGATCATACTGCTTATCACTAGCCCAGCAAAAGATCAAAATTCAAAATTCCATGCATTGCTTTCACATCTTTGTAAAGTTGAAAAATCCTAAGTAGAACTATAATACATTAGAGACCATTTGGATATCTTTTTATGGAATAATCACTCATAACTTCATCACCTAAAAAGAACATTTCCTGTTATTTTTCTGTATATATAAACTTTTCTAATTCTGAAGTTTCAAGCTGATGAGTTTCTTATCTAGCACATTCCAAATGCTACAGAGAACTCCATCAAGGAGAGCCAGTCTTCTTCCACTGGATATTTCTGTTATTTCCAAGATTGTAGTATTATAAATTGCAGTGTTAAGCAACTTCATATTCCTAACACCTGACTTTTCCCAAAATTCATGGATATAAGGGTTCATATACTTTCTTTTCTTTATGGTATAAGAGATGAAACCCAGAGTTTCATGCATACCAGGCAAATTTTTTACCCCTGAGCATCATCCCCACCCCTTTTAAAAAATGTCTCCCAGGACTAGGGATCTAGCTCAGCTGGTAAAGTGCTTGCCTCACATGCACAAAGCCCTGTGTTCAATTTCCAGCACCAAGAAAAATAAATAAAATGTGTCTCCATAAGTTGCCCAGTTTGGCCTCAAATTTGTATTTTTCCACGTGCTTTTATTCCTAGTTAGTCTGAGATATTGTCCCCTGACTTTCCTCTATGGAAGAAGAGGATTTCTAACACATAACCTCATACCTAGTACCCCCAATTACAACAAAATATTGTACCTTGGTGGGGCAATTCAATATTTGTGATGACAGTCTTATAAAGGTGAGTCACAGCTGAGCCATATAGTCTTCCTTTCCTGAATAGGCTTTTTTCTGTCTTGGTCTGAAAAACTATCTGGTTTTTCTCTTCCACCCATTGGATCATAGCAGGTATGCACTGATTTCTTCTACTTGAGGAAGGTATGTCTCTTGGGCCTTTAGCCTGCCCTTCCTGGACTGGCTATTGTCCAGGTGCTATCCATGATGATGGGGACTCCCTAGTTCCAGGAGAATCTAGCTTTCTTTTTTTTTTTTTTTATCTCATTCCTTCATTTTAGTGAGGTACATTCTTCAATAGCTTTCCGAAAAAGGGTGTATAAGCAGGCTTTTTTTTTTTTTTGAGATTCTATGTGTCCAGAAATAAATTTTTTCTACTCTCATGTTTCATTGATAATTGTGTTAGTCTGCCTCTTAAAACGCCCTATCTCCAAATACAACCACATTCTAGGGCTTCCAGAGAGAAATTTGAGGGGGACAAAATTCAGCCCATGAAAGTACAGATTTTTAGGTTGAAAATTATTTCCCGTCAGAATTTTAAAGATACTGTTGCACTGTCTTGTAGCTTCCTACATGTGTCCTAACAAGATGATGTCCTTGTTTCCCAATGGCACCTATCTTCTCTCTAGAAGATCTTCAATGTGATCCCTAGAATATCTTCAATGTGGAGCTATCTTCATTCATTGTTGGGTCCTTCATTTGGAGATATTATTTCCCTGATAGTTTTTGCTCCTTTGGTTTTTCTGGTATTTTTTTTTTCCCACAATTCAACTCTTTCCATTCTTTCTTTACCCCTCTTTCTTTTTTTTTTTTTTTAAATAAATTTATTTTTTAGGTGTAGATGGACACAACACAATGCCTTTATTTTTATGTGGTGCTGAGGATCGAACCTGGGTCCTCCCTGTGCTAGGCAAGCGCTCTACCGCTGAGCCACAATCCCAGCCCCCTCTTTCTGTCTTTGAAATAGGGTCTCACTTTGTAATCTAGGCTGATCTTGAACTCCTGGGCTCAGGTGATTCTCCCATCTCAGTCTTAGGATTACAAGTGTATATGGCATTGCACCCAGCTTCTTTTCACAATTCTTAATACTTGTGTGGTAGAACTAGAAACTTTTTCTTTTTTGTAGTGCTGGATACTGAACCCAGGACCTCATAAATGCTAGGCAAGCATTCTATCACAGAGCCATGCTCCCATCCCAGAACTGAAAGCTTTCTGACTGTGGTTTTCAGTCTGGGATAAGCTGGGTAGGACAGACATTCCTTGAGGGAAACACTACTGTTTGTCATTATCTTTAGGTCTTTTTTCTTGGGCTCATCAGTCTGTACAGAGAAAGGTCCAACCTCCAACTATAATGAGTAAAACTGTCTGCCAGTATACTGCGGACCAAGTAGTGGAAGAACATAAAGGGCATTAACATTCAGGGTACAAACTCTCTCCTTCTCACTCTTCATTTGGTCTTGCTATCCACTATGGCTGACTGCCCTAGTCTAGAGACCTTTTGATACCTTCTTCTGGGAGTACCGGGAGGAAGACTTCTACAGTTCTTAATGTTTTGTATTCTATCTTTAACCCCTCATTTCCAGCAGTGCCTTTTGAGAGCTCCACAATCTATACCAAACTGCCTCTTGGCTTTCCTCACACTCAACTTAGGATGCAGCTTTCCATCGTCTTGTCCTTCTACTCTGAGGATTCCAAAATCTTGCTGGAGTTGCCTCCTCTTCCAATCTTTACTGTCTCATTGCCTGTAACCACAACTCTACTGGGCTTCAGGATGGAGTAGAACTAAGTATATGTCTTTAAGTCTATCTTTTTTGGTTTCCTCTTCTCCCATCTCTCCCCCATATTGGGGATGGAATTCAGAAACACTTTATCACTGAGTTACAATCCCAGCCCTTGATCCTCATGGCTTCAGCCTCCTGAGCCAGTAGGATTATAGGCAAATGCCACAGAATCAGCTCAATCCCATCTTTCATCATACACTTCTTTAAAAATTATGGATAAATAAATCTGTTTATGCCTGCCAGCCTCACTCTCCCTTTTGGAATCTATAAGTGATGATGAGCCATGAGCCATACCAAGAGGACACCCCACACTGAGGCCTCAGGTCTTATGAGGTCTGACTAGGAAACCATGTATACTTGGTCTGAACCTGGAAGATCCCTAACACTGTGCCAATGTGGAAACATTATAGCCAGGAGCACCTGCACGTGGGACAGGGGTGTAGAGACAACACTATGGTGTCTGCTCCCAACCAACCCAAATGCTACAGTTCAGGGGTCAGGAGGGGCCAACAAGGGCCCTGCAGTCAGGAAATGGCTGATGACTAGTTCCAGTGACTGGCAGACCATCTTGAAAAGAGATCACAGCACATCTGCCCTCTCCCTTACTCCTGGATCCCCAAGGTCTGCTCCTTTGAGAAAAGGAACAAAGAAAACAGGGTCTAAAATGTGGATATTCTAGAAACTCTCATCACCTCGGGTCACTGCATCCAGCCACAACTACTGAGTGCTGAGGGCAGTCTCTGACAGGGTATGCTGGATTTTATGAGTCAACACCTAGTACCCTGAAGTAAGTTCCGACAAGGCACACCCTCACCTTAGCCAACTCCCCCTCTTCCCCCCTGTCAGACCTCATTTCCTATAACAGACGCATACCAGGCCAAGGGAGGCCTGCTGTCATGTCTCAGTGGAGGTAACTTTCAGCATGTAGTGGCACAAAAGTGGGTTATAAAGTGGTCAGGAGTTATGACTGCAGGCTCAGAGAGCCCTCACCTCTGGGTTTTCACATATACATCTGTACAAATGCAGATAATCACAGCAGCCATCTCCTGGGGCCATTCCAGGGATTTAAGAGTTGTTACACATAAAACACTCAACATTAGTAGTTGGCACCTATATCATGCTGGTCACCATTGCTAGGTGACGAGAGTACTATGATGGCCTGAACTTAGGAACTTGAATGCCTGCCCTCTTACTGCAATACATTGAGTGATGTTTGGTGCAAAGTGCCTGTGAGGCCTGGCCATACAGTCTTGAAGTGTTCATGTCTACAGGATGCTCAGTTCTTTCCTTCCCTTGTCTTACAACCATCCCACTCAGCTAGAAGATGTTAAGAGACTGGAAGCACCAGGTCTCTATATGAGAAGCAAGCAGAATATAAGGCCCATTTAGGGTACACTATTCTTCAGTGGCAGAGCCTTGAGTCAGCTCTTGTCCCCTGGACTGCCAGGCCTCAGCTCCTGACCCCTGGACTGTCAGGCCTCAGCCTATACTCTACAGAATTAGGCCATTAAGAAAATAATGACCCCAGGAATGGGGAACACAAAACAGAAACGCCCAATTCAGAATCATTACGAATCCCAGTCATCACTAGTAAAAAAAATACTTCTCATTACCAATAAAATAAACTCACCTCTTCAACCTTTTTAACCAATGGACGTGAATTTCTGATGAAAGTTATTTTACCAAGTTTAAATTCATAATTGGGAATTCCTCTGTGAAGAAGAGACAAAAATAGAAATGTTCATTCCAAGAGGAAAGGACTAAAATTCACTTTTAACGTCAAGAGGAGGGCAAGCAAAAAAAAGACCCCCACCCCAATACAACAACAACAACAAGTATTCCCCATTACTCTTCTGGAGATATATTGCTATATACTACCTAGGCCTCTGGTCAGCCCTTGAGTAATCCCCAGCATTCTTCTAGCAGGGATCCAGAAGACAAATGGTTTCCTGGTTTAGCATAAATACTGGGTATGGGGCAGGGGTTTGGCCTGTGCTGAAGAGTCATTTCAAGCCACACAGAGCCCCTAACAAGGGCTACACGCTCTCATCTTACTCTTTAAGAGAATGGGTTAAAGAAGGTGTCACTTGCATTCTCCTATTTACACACAGTAGACAGCTGACACATCTCATCCCTATCCCCACCATGACAGCTGCCAGAGAAGTCTGTTGTGAGGGTATCTGAATCCATTAATATCATGGTCCCCCAACACCAGGAGAGCAAGCAGGGGTCTGACACAGCCCCTCCTTGGACAATGCCAAAACATCCAGCAGGGGCAGTTACAACAGACTTACCTTTTAATGTCTCCAGGCTTGATTGGGGAGGGACTGGGCTCTACCCCTTTCTTCTTTCCATCTAGTCTATTCCCAGAGCCAGAAAAGGCCTAGACAAGCAAGCAGAAGTGCATGCTGAACTTCAAGGGTGAGTGCACATGTGCCTGAGGGTGATGCCCAGACCCATTAGAACTAAAGTCCTTGTTCCCCAGCTGATGGATTACTGGCAGTGGATCTCTCCACCCAGCCTTTCAAGGTACTACTGAGATCCAAAAGAGCTGCCTGACCCTAGAGCAGCCAGCAGCTAGTGGTTGAAAGGCTTGGCTAGTTCAAGCCCCTGTGGGTGGGCTAAGGCCTCTGTTGTGACCGCCTCCCAGATTTAGCTTCCTGAATGCCCAATCATGTCTCCTCCATTGTTCTTTGGCATCCCAGTGCTTGCACATGAGCCACCTCCACCTATTTCTCAGTGAGCCTGGCCAGAGGCCATGCTAAGGGTCATATCTCCAGCTTACTTTCAAATGGTGTAAGCAAAACAAACAAAAAACAGGACATACTTTTAGCAATAGAGAAAAAGTAATAAATACTGTTGAACCTAAAGGAAGGATATGTCCATTGTATTAATTTAATTTTTTGGTAGGGTAATTTTCTTTAATGGGGAAAAAAAAATAAAGTTGGGTTCCTTACAGGGTCGGTAAGATTCTAGGAGAAAGTAGATATGCAACAAGATTTAGGAACTGAGCAAGTGTCTGACTTGTGTATGTGGGTACCCAGAACACAACCCCTGCTAATGTCCACAGACCATCACAGAGAACAGCTTGCAGTGAATGTTCTGATTCAAGGAAGCACAAAGAGTAAAACATGTGGCCTGGTACTCACACGGAAGCCCAACTCTCCTGCATAGCCACTGTGGTCGGCTTCGCCTTCCTGATGGGGAGACAGAAAATAGGAGGTAAATTTCTAAGCATGAACATCCAGCTTTACCCTGAGCCTCCAGTTACTAATGCTGCTCCTACCCTGCATCAGCTTGGACACACTGACCCCTAAGGAAGAGGGAAGAGAAGCAGGGGATATGATAATGCCAGCCCCAACAGAGGTCACACATAAAGAAGCACTAGTACTAAAAAGATCAAGTGCATGAGAATTTGGGAAGGGACTCTGGAGAAATCACTTACTGTTGACTCCTCATGCTGGACTTGTCTTTCAGGTTCCTTGTAGCCTAAGGGAGCATCAAAGTCCACCTGTATTGTCAATATGAAAGGTAAAATGTTGAGACAAGGTCATACTCAGTTTCGTTATCTATTTTAACTAAGACAACTACAGATTCACACATGGTTCTAAAAAATTATACTGAAAGATATGCCTATACATTATGCTCAGTTTTCTCAATTAGGATACATCACAAATTACAGCATTGCATCACTACCCGAATGTCAATGTTAGAAAACATATTGCTCTTATACAGAGCTTTCTGATTCTACATGTATTTGTGTGTATGTGTTTTCTGTAATTAGTTCCTTATGATTTCATCATCAAGAGGGTCTGTCTATCCACCATCACTTTTTTTGGCGGGAGGGGCTCAGCAATGAGGATGTTGTGTACATCAATGGTTTATTCCTATTCAGGAATCTGAGAAAATTTCCCTTGGCTCTTAAGAATATTTATTCCTTGGCAGATCTGAGCTGACCATAAATCCAGCCACCTCAGCACCATAAGCAAACTCTGCCACCCCTACTTCCTGGGATGGATCACTAGGTGAATGGTCACCTCGTGATGTTCTGATAGCATCTTCCTCCTCTTTACCCAAACATTCCCAGGGATTGAGTGATATCCCCCAGAAGCTCTGATCTGAGCTCACTGAAACCACAAAAAGTCACTTACATTCATGTCACACTCAATGATGGACACAGCTTTGTCAGGTTTTGTCTCCATCACCCGTAGTTCATAGATCTGTGGAAAAAATACAGAAATCAGTTGGGACAGTTGTGAGGCAGCACTAGGGGTTGACAATGTCCCTGTTCTGTGGCTACCAGACTTCTGTGGACAGGACCATCATTCCCATGACATCATCACACAGCTGCACCTCCTCCTTCAGTTGAGGGGTGGGCTACCTTTATGTCAACTGCTCAAGAGATGTTTGTTCACCATATGTGGTTCCAATTAGATAGTTATGCATCATATTGCAAAACACAGTCCTGTATTTTTCCCTTCTTCATTTCTTTAGGGAGTACTGGGGATTAAACTCAGGATCACTTTACCATTGAGCTACAACATGAGCCATTTCCATTTACTTATTATTTTTTAAATTTTGAGATAGAATCTTGCTAAGTTGCTTGCTCAAATACTGAGGCTGGCTTTGAAGTTCTGATTCTCCTGCCTCAGCCTCCTGAGTTGCTGGGATTACAGGTGTGTGCCACCATGACCATTCAAGACACTCCCTTTGACCCAGAAAGTTCACTTATAGGAATTTATTCCAAGTAAATAATTAGGCTAAGTACCTAAGAAGAAAATTCTAAGAAAGCTCATTCCAATACTATTAATAGTGTGTACCCAAAATGCCTATCACTTAGATGAATTACATTTGCTCACATGTAAAAAACAGGTTAGAGGCATAGCTCAGTGGTAGAACATTTGCCTAACATGTACAAGGACCTGTGTTCAAATCCCCAGCAATGCAAAATAACAACAACAAAAAAATACAGAAAGGGAAGAAATTATTTTTCAAGTATGTATTTAAACCTGTGCTTCAATGTATATCTTATTATAATACTCTCAACTTACTGTGTAAAATCATCAGCGGCATCTTTTATCATCAATTTAATATATATACGTTTTGGTGGAGGGGTACCAGGGATTGAACTCAGGGGCACTTGACCACTGAGCCACATCCCCGACCCTATTTTGTATTTTATTTAGAGACAGGGTCTCACTGAGTTTCTCTGCACCTCACTTTTTTGCTTAGGCTGGCTTTGAACTTGTGATCCTCCTAAGTCTCCGGAGCTGATGGGATTACAGATGTGCGCCACCACAGCCAGCTATCATCAATTTAAGAGTCAGCATTACTGGGGCTGGGGCTGGGGCTGAGCGGTAGAGCACTCGCCTAGCACGTGAGAGGCGCTGGGTTTGAGCCTCAGCACCACATAAAAATAAATAATTAGGTACCTGTTATTCAACGTACTTACAAAAAACAGTTAGCATTATTACTTGAGTATTAAGAACAATATCACGAAAGCTACCTACAATTAATCAAAAAGCTTAAAATATTTAATTAAGATAGACAATACTTAAAATATTCTCCAAGAAGCTAAAGACAAGAATATTTCTTAGTTTATACAAAAAGAAAAAATAGAAACATATAATTTGAAACCCACAAAACAGGAAAGTAAAGGTTATTAGTATAAGATCCCTCAAATATAGGGAAACTTTCAGATAAGAAGCTAGATTTTTACATTGACACCAAGTAGTTGCCTCTAAATACTGCGAAGGAGGAACAGGCTAACCCACAAGGCTCCTGTGACATGGCTGTGGGGATCCCAGTCCAAAGGGACCAGACAATGTTGTAAAGGAGCTGAGTATTTGTCACAGAGGAAGTAGGTTAAACCAGGCTGGGGTCATTCCTGGACAGCAGCAGTCAGCCCTGGCAGAAATCCCATGGTGGTCAACTGTCAACTGTCACAGTGGACAAGAGGCATCAACACTACTATATGCCAAGCCTATGACAGAACAGCCTACTGGCAGGAGTTCCAGTTATTATATCCTCCTGCAAATGTGTTTCCATGGATATAGAAAGCAGATGGCCCCCTGAACTGAGAGAACTCACATGTCTTTTCACTTTGTAGCTAAATTATCTAGGATCAGACACTCAAGAAGTACAGATTGATACATATGAACATTTGAACATATGAACTTATATCAGGAGGGGCTAAACCCAGAGGAGCTGCTAATGTAAAACTGGAGTCAAAAAAAAAAAACAAAACTGTGGGCTCCCATAAGAAGAGGAAGTGACTCCAAGAGACACTGTCCCCAGCAAGAGCCAGGTGCCCAAGGTACCTAACAACATTCAACCCATTGCAGGGCCAGCTCCTCCAGGGCTTGTCTGCTTCCAAGGGAAGAAATCACAAAGACAAGGATCCAGCTTTTCTGTTTCTAGATCCTTACAGCTATATAAAAGCCTTAAAGGCTTAGGCTACAGATATAATAAAGACCTTTTTAATAGAGGGAGAATTGACAGCCTCACCAATGTGGTCCACAGAGATATGATTAAGAATAGCAATATTAAGCTTATTTACCTACAAGTGCAATCAATCCTTAAATGGGATTTGTGAATTATGGCTATAAAATTTTAAAAAGCAAATAGCATGCAGTAATGAGGTAATAAGATTCAGGAATATCTCACTTAAAAAGAAGCCCCAAACACCAGAATAGACAATGTAAGTGGTTCTTTTTAGGTCCAATCTATGTTAAACAAAGATCACCTACCTTCTCATTGTAATTGATGGCAATCACATCCCCAGTGGTCAGACAGGCAAAGTTTCTCAACGCATTTTCTAACCTGCAGACACACACTGTCAAGGCAACATGGCAAAATGTATACCTTCAGTCTAAATTAAGTGTCTATGAGAAGTTACCATTAGGTACATGTAGTGTAGCATGCTGGAAGTAAAATCACACAGCTTTGAGCTGGGATATACCTCAGGAGGGTGCTAATCTAGCATGCATGAGTCCCTGAGTTCAATCCCTAGCACCACAAAAATAAAAAACAACAAGAGAAACTTCAAAACACAGCTTAACCAGGCATGGAAGCTGAGACAAAAGGATCACAAGTTCAAGGACAGCCTAGGCAACTGAGTAAGCTCCTGTCTCAAAATTAAAAAAAAAAAAAAAAAAGTAATAATAATAGTCTAGGTGTGGTGGTACATGCTTGTAATCTCAGCAACTTGGGAGGTTGAGGCAGGAAAATTATAAGTTTCAGGTCAACCTCAGCAACTTAGCAAAACCCTGTCTCAAAAAGTAAATAAATAAAAGGGGCTGGAGCATATCTTAGTGGTAGAATGCCCTGAATTGAATCTCCAGTACTGCAAAAAAAATTATTACTCCCAGTGACACTGCAAGGGCATGCTTTGACTTTGACCACAATGGTTAGAGGCGCTGGGCCTGAACTACACTAGAACAGATTTCTTGGTTTTGGAGGATAAGGATGGCTGGCTCCCTGCATTACTTCTGCACAACCTGGCACATGCCAAAGCACAAGCTCCCCACTGTGGTGAGCCGTTCCTGCGGACTGTGGTCGCCATTACATGATGGCGCTGGCTCCGCTGTGGTCTGTGAAGGACAACTCCATATCAGAGAGAGTTGGCGTGTTGTCAACTCCTTATCAGAGAGAGTTGGCGTGTTGTTTTCTAACACCCTGTGAGAAAGGTCCACGTGGCAGCTTCGCATTGGGGTTCGCGGTGCTTTATTAAGGCTGGGAGGGGCATCCGAGAATTATTAGAAGAATTATTAGAAGAATATCAAGGGCCTGAATAAACTGCTGAAAGAAGATTCCTGAGTCGCGTCTTCCTTGCGGGCAAGGGGGTCGTGACACCCCACCTTCCGTGTTATATGCTGACTACCTTTATCCTGTCAGTCAAACCAGGGGAACACCCAACTGACTTTCAGCTCTAACACAAATATTACTCTCTACACTAACAAGTTATCCAGGCCAATAGAAACAGCCTCTGAAAACAATCCCACAATAAGTTTGCATTGCAATATGCATAAAAACACAAAGATCAAAAGGAGCTATGACAGATTCAGGACCCCTTCTTGGTCACTAACAGCCCAACACATCTAGGTCAGAGTTCTGAGGAATAATGTATGATCTTCCCATAGGAAGATCTCCAACACACCCCTCATCCAGGACCCAATCAGCAGGGGGCTCAATGAGGCCACTGTGTCGGGACATGATCAGCAAAGGACTTAACATGGCTCATATGCAGCTTGCTTCTGAAAGTAGGCCTAGAGAGTGACCAGATGGGGAAGAAGGCACCTTCTAAAAATTTTTTAATATTTTACCTTTCCATGTTGTTCACTTTTTTTTGGGTAAATAGTACTAGGGATTAAACCCAGAGGTGCTCCACCACATATCTATGTCCTTAGTCCTTTGAAGTAGCTGAGATAACAGATGTGCACCACCATGCCCAGCTCTTAAATTTTTTTAAAAGCATGCATTTTAAAAAGTAATTGGGCTGGGGATGTTGCTCAGTGGTAAAGATTTTCTTAGCATGCAATGAGGACCTAGGTTCAATCTCTGGCATCACAAAAAAAGGAAAAAGTTAAATAGACACTCTTTAGTATTACGATTTTAACAAGCTAGTGGGAGCCATCAAGCTATAGTTTTGTTGTTGTTGTTTTGTGGTACTGAGGATTGATCAGGGCCTTGTGAATGCTTGGCAACTGTTCTACCATTGAGCTACATCCCTAGCCCAAGCAAGAGATCTTGATCACAGTCCACAGACAGTATACCTCTTACCCACAATGGTCACTTCCTTCCCCAGTACTGCAAAAAAAAGAAAAGAAATAAATCACTAGAACCTAGAACCTAAACACCTGCTTTTTGCTGTAGTCAGTCAACATTACCTATGATGAGTCCTAAGCCTGGGAACACTATGGAACTGACTAGCCAGTTCTTTGTTGAGCTGGGTTATCAGAGGCTGGAGGGTGAAGGCAGGTGAGTCATCCCTACCTTCCACTGTACATATTGCACCTATGTACAAAAGACTAGACTTTGTGCCAGGGGGCAAAGTCCAACTGAAAGAAGAGTTCCACTTTGGCTTCTACGAGGGTCTGGAAAATGATCAAAGGAGGCATACAGAACATTTAGTGCACTCAGGACGAGGAATCAGGTCAATGTGTTGGCTTTTTTTTGGTTTTTGTGGTACTGACAATCAAACCCAAAGCGTCGTGCATGCCAGGCAAGCACTGTACCACTGAGCTACATCCCTAGTTCTGAATGCTATTATTCTTAAATCATAATTTCAACCACAAACATGTGGTTCTGAAAGTAGCAAAGCACCTTTTATTAGTGGCTCCTGAATACCAATCTTTCATTTAGAGGAACCCTTCTTATTTCAAAAGGATACACTGCTTTGGGGTTGGTGATATCCAGGAAGTCTGGGCTCTGAGGCTGGAATTTGGAGTATGTAGCCACTTGAAGGTTGACACTTTCCACCTGCACCAAGCCCCCTTCTTCCAACAGCAAATTCTGCATCATCTAAAAGGAAGAATGCTGCATGAAACTCCTGGAAATGAAGCAGCATCAGAGTTATCATCAAGTTGTACAATGGATGAGCCAAAGTGTCTTACTTGGGGCCTCAAAAGAGGAGCCTGAGACAAAAGACTTGAGAACAGGTAATTTAATTGGGATACAACATCAGAAAAAATTAAAAATCAAATGAGGGAACCATGTGGAAAGAAGAAGGCCAAGAAATGGGGGCTAAGGCTGCTGCAACTAATAGTATGCTATATCTCTGCTGGGGCACCTCTATCAGCCTCCAGCTAAGGCCTTCTGGAATTCCTGGAATGCTCAGTTCCTGATTCCTAAACTGTCCCACCAACAGGTTATAAGGATCTGGGTAAACAGGGCTATACTTAAGGTAGGATAATAATAGCAGAAGATGAAGCTGAGCTACTATGGAATGGCTTGAAATGGCTAAGGCCATGAAGTAGTGACAAGACTCCAGAGATATCTGCTATAGAGGGTTATAAAAAACTGAGAGCCACCCCCTACATTCTTGTAATTCTTCTATTAAAAACCCAGTAAAGCAGATGATGGCTGAGGTGGAAGATAGAAACATCAACAAAGTCTATGAGAATACAGCATATTAGTGAGGACAACCACTACAGTGTGCCTGAGACTTAGGTCAGAGGAAAGAAGACTAGGCCAAGAAAATAGAACTCTGCATGTCCCAGAATAGGCTTTTGCTTGTCTTATTTTAAACCTTCTTGAAAAGAATGTCAGATAAATACATGGATAGAGAGAATCACAAAACCAATTTTTGCACAGTCTGCCCTGACAGTTCAATAGTAAGCAAAATATGGCTTAGCTCATTTTCTCTACCCACACCCCACTCTCCAGTCCCACCCCATACTGGACAGACATCATGTTCTTCTGCGAATACTTCATCAAGAGCAGCAGTTAGGAAGTGACCCAAACAGCCCAAGAAATGGGGGACAGGGAGTTATGGTGCAGTTAAGAGAAAGGGAGCTTATCTGGAGAATTGGGCATAACTGGGGCAGCAGCTATACCTTAAGGAAGGCAGGGGCCCAGCCATGAGCAAAGTTCAAGAGTGAGTGGGTCCTAAGACAAGCCTATGGAGGCCTCAACACACTTGAGCTGAAAGGCACTTATCAAGCTGGAAATGACAGCAATGGAGGGGTTGTCATTCCTTCTAATGACACAGGGAGCTACAATAGGATGGCAAGGCAGCTGGCTTTGAACTGAGGGTATTGTGACTTTGGAGAGTGGAAATGTTCCAAGGCTGAGTCAGCCTGCTGTAAGTCAAACCTCAGGCCCTTGGGCAGACTTTTCTGAGTGATCTGTCAGTGAGGAGGAAGAGGACATTAGTGGTATGAGGCCCTGAAGTACAAAGGGCAAGGTTGTAATCACAGGCTGGAGGAAGCCTGTACTGTAGTGGGAGTAGGAGGAGATTCCTCAGTTAAAAGGCAGGACACAGCCACAGAAGGCTTGAGACAGAGAGACAGAAGTGAGGGTTAGATCAGGGCTTGTGGTGAGAAATAAGCTAAGGGCAATGAGGGAGGGGAGGAGGAGCTGAAATCTTGCTCTATACCTAGTCCACCAGTTTGGCGGTATCCAGCCCCAAGGAAAGTTCTGTGGTGATGCACACACAGTACAAAAGGCATCTGGTCTGGTGCATATCTTAGTGCTTGCAAGTGGCCCCAGGAAGGAATAAAGTATAAGCCAGCAGTTGCAGTCCCAGCTGCTAGAACACAGGCCAGCATTTTTTTAGCCTGGCTCCCAGAAGTAGCTCAGGAGCTCTGGGAGGGATGGAGTTGACCAATCAGTGCAGGAAAAGCACTTGCTCCCACAACCTGTGTTGCCTTAAACAGCGGTTGGGAGGCATAAGGCAACTTCCTCATGTTAGGATCTGAAAGGCCAGGTTAGAAAAAAGAAAATAAGAGAATAAGGCTTCTCAGAGGTCAAGAGATTCCTCAAGAAAAAGGTTCAATTATCCTAATCCAAAGTTGTCAAAGAGTCAAGTAGCCACTCAAACTCCAAGTCTGTGGATTGGAAAAGAACCTCTGAGATACAGTATAATCCCAGTGTCACCACTTCTTCTTTCACCTTTACAGATAATCCACAGAGGAGTCTCTGCAGGAACAGAAAGGACTGAAGAAATAGTTGCTATCAAATATTTCAACAACTCAGAGCAATTTCAATGACCAGACATAGTACTAGATGAGTAGGACATGGCTTCATGCACCTGCAGACAATACACAAGGACAAGATACTGAGTGGAAATTCTCAGGATGGCAAAGTAGGAGGCAAGTGTCAGATCAGAGGCCCAGTCAGTCTGGAAGGAGATAGCATAAGAAAAGTCAGGCAACCGGGGCAAGTGCAGGGCTCACATTGGGGAGAAGCTCGTCAGGTCTGCCACTTATGAAGGGTCCTGGGACCCGACTAAAGGACAACCATGCTCATAGTGACATGGGCAAGGTTGTCTCCTGCAAATGAGAAGGAACCTTTGGAACTTATATTCAATCTCAGAAAGAGAAAAGGCCGGGGGGCAAGGGGGGGTGAGGAGGAGGAAGGGAGGGAAGATAGGAGGGAGGGGAGAAGAAAGAGAAGGAGGAGGGGAGGAAGGGGGAGGATGAGGGAGGAGAAGGAGGACCATGCCTTTCAAAGTGTGGCAATCACCACGAAGGGAACCAGCAGGAGGTAGGCTATGCCTCAGAACATTGCTTTCTTAGCAATGGGGTCTCAAGGTATGGCAGTTGAAGTACTTTTGTGTGTTTGCAGCCCCTCTCACTGCTCATCCTGGACACTCTAAGTGCACCTGGCAAAATTAAAGCACAAAAGGAAAGAAACATGCTTCCTTCCATGGGCTTCCTAAAGCAAGCATGTCAGAACTAGGGAGAGGGTAGGAGTAGGTTAGAGAGAAGTGGAGGGGGAAAAGGGAACCATGTGGTTCCTGAGGCCGCTGGTGTGGAATGCATGCAACATCAGGCTCCTCCCTAAAACACTAGTGCAGTTTTGCTCGCTTCTCTAAAGTGTCCAGCCCCTGGGCAAGTTATGGAGGCTCTTATGTACCGAGATGTTTGCACCCAAGTCTGCAATGAAGTCCTTCAAGTCATGTGACCACAAGTCAAGTAACATGGGTCCACAGCTAAGCACAGTGTTTTATTGAATGGCATAGGGAATTGTTTTGGATCCACTCCTCTTGCTGGGCCACTCTGTTGAGGGGCGCAGGATTCTTAAGTGTGCACACACATACTAGGGGGTGATTCTGCCTATGAGAACACCACATGTGACAGGCCAAGGGGCACACTCTTGTGTGTGCTTGGTGAGAGCTTGATGGCCTCACTCACCCAGTGTGGGAGATAGCAGATACCCTCATCAGCCACGAATTCCAGCACTCCGCAGTGTGTCATGCGATCCGAATTCTTATTGGTCAGTTTGAACAGCATGGGATAGGTAATATTAAGTCGGCCTAAGAAGAAAGAGGTTAACAAGCATGGATGAGATAGATAACTCAAGGAATGGCTTCTTTGAAGGCAAAAATACCCTGCTCACCCAACATTCTCCCCTTGGAAGGAGCCTCTCTGCTACCTAAGGTAGCTTTGTTCCCCAAATTTCAACACCCTCCACCCAAGAAACCTCCTACTGAGTGAGGCAAGGACATATACAGTGCATGGCCCAGAAGAGGAGCTCAGAAATGTCTGGTGACTTAGTCATGCAGCATCAGCACAGACCTGTGATATTCTGAAATCACCATTTTAAAAAGTGTTTGTCAATAATGTATCAACCATGTGTCAGAGAAAAAGCCCCACCTTCAAAGCTTACTAGTTAGGTAAGAAAGAACACAAACATGCATAACCTGAGGCTTCAGGTGCTATGGGAAGAGAAGGGAGGGAAGGGACAGGGTCAGGGGGACAGACCAGCCACAGGGCAGGCAAGTCAGGAATAGAATCCAAAGAGAAGAAGTAGCTCAAACAAACATATGGAGGTGAAAAAACCAAGTATTTCAGAGACAAACTGTCAATTAGGCAAGTTGAGCCAGGACAAATATAGGAGTGATCAGGAACAGAAAGGGAAACTGGTATGAGACACCACATGGCAGAACTTTGTGTCTGGGACCAATGGGCTCAGCCAAATCACAATATACTACATCTACTCATTCCAGTGATCCATGAGGTAAGAGTTGCGTGGAGGGCAAGAGCTGGCAAATAATACTGCACACAGGGCTGGGATTGTGGCTCAGTGGTAGAGCACTAGCCTAGCACGGGCAGGACCTGGGTTCAATCCTCAGCACAACATAAAAATAAAAAAATGCATTGTGTTGTGTCCATCTACACCAAAAAAATAATAATAATAATAAATATACTGCTCACATGCTGACTCAGGAGGTAAAAGGGGCAGAGAAAGGTGGGGCTGGCCAGGTGAGGAAGGAAAACCTAGGAAACCAGGGCCCTGGGAGAAGGGATCTCAGAATGTACTGGTGATGTTTGCTCTGTCCCAGGATCTTGTTCAATCTTCCCAGAATTTCCAGGAAGGTACTATCATTATCCCCTTTTTATTACTGGGGAAACCAAGGCACATAAGTAAAGTAACATGCCCCCAATTACATAATTCAAGAGTGGCAATGCTGGGATCCAAACGCAGTCTACTTGCTTAAATCTGGGGACTCAACCACTGAAGCAGACTTCAACTTGTCAGGCTAGGCAAACATATCAATAGCCGTCCATTTAGCATCAGGAGGTAAAGCGGATTCCTTCTGGTCTCTCTCTAAAACTCCAGTTAAAACAAATTGAAGAGCTTGGGCAGGAAGTTCCAGAGAAGCTCAGAAAGAAACACCTCACCATGGAGGTGCAGTGGGAATGGGTGGCCCCACTATCACATGAGTAACTGATGCTGGCAGCACAAGGTCCAAGGGCCCAAACACCAGGCCTTCCATCCTCAGGGCACCTCACAGCTGTTAGAAGCTGACCTATAGTTGATCTGGGGTGACCTGGATCAGGCTCCAGCCAAGGATCTGAGACTGCTATAGCTGGAAGAGATACCAATGTTCTCCAGTCCACTCACTGATGACCAAACTACAATCTATGATTTAGAGAAGTACCCTGATGTTCCCAACTCTTTATAAACCCTCACCTCTTCCAGAGTAGTGATCTTGTATTTTGTAAATCAGGACTCCTCCCTGCACAATCTTACTCAGGCACAAGAGGGTTTCTTCCATCACTTAGGAGGTCAAAACAACACTGATTTGATCCACTGACCCAGTCCCTAATTCTTCTGGACACCTGTGCTAAGGGTCACACCAGGTATCTGGATTCTGGGTCAGCTTGTCTGGAAACCAAGGCCTCTCTGGGGGCTTATTCCCTCTCTGTAATGACAAGTGTGCAAACAGTACTATAACTGTGAACCCACTGGCTCTATCTACCTGCTGCATGGACACGGGCCTCCACAGTATATGGCTATAACTAGAGTTGGCTCAAGGGTCACTAACCCTAGGGGCTGGGATGAAATGGATTGGGTTGGGCATACATAAAGCACAACACCTCCAATGTATAAGTGCTGTAGATGTCCCTGGTTAAGGAAAAGGACACCAAGGGCCAGAGAAGCCAAGTCACAAAGTCAGGCTGGGCAAGGTGAAAAGGTTGAGCAGACTTAGTACCTTTCTCTGCAATCTACCACTGAGTTCCTATGACTAGCCTCCAGTCTCCTGACTCCCACAGGAGAAATTCAAAGTGAAAACATCAAGTCTTGAAATTCAACCGTGTCTGTGATCAGGGCTCTCCATGATCAGGATATTCTGTGTCTGGGTCTGTGGTATCTGGGCTGTTCTCTTGAGATAAAAGGTTGGGGGGAAAAGGAAGAGTATGGCCATTCTCACAACTTAGGAATCTTATCCACCCTTCTACTAAGAGGCAGAAGACAAGCAAAGAGCAGAAGATAATAAATAGCTCGATCTCTGACATGCTCAGAATGCAATGACACACTGAGATGAGAAACATGCACTACCCTCTTGAGAAACAAAGATTTCTTCTGGCTTGAGAAGCTTCTTGCTTGAGACTATGCACTACCCTCTTGAGAAGCAAAGATTTCTTCTTTTAAAAGAAAAACAACTGAGTACAATCAATGGCATGAGCTACCTTGGCACTGTACAAAGCACTTTACCCTTCCTTTATTTACTCATTTATTGCAGCGTTGAAGATCAAGCTTAGGTCCCTGAGCATGCTACTAAGTGCTTTAACACCAAGCCATACCCCAGTGCTTCATCCTTTATTTAATCCTGACAGAGTCCTGAGACAAGTTAATAGAGGGTGGGTAGGATCAGGGAAGAGAACCCCCTTCACAGAGGAAGGACCTAAAGTTCCCAGGGCAGTGGAAAAGCTTAGTATTCACTGCATAGTTGCCGCCGCCACCACACATAACTTTGTCCCAAACACTTGTGGCCCTGGTTTCCCCAGTTCAGTATATGCTCCCCAGTAATGATTCCTAACTAGATGTTGTAATGGTCATCAGCATTTGGATGCACTAAAGAGCCTAGACTGATTTCTGTCATTCGTATTTATGTTACTTAAGTTTTTGAGTAACTTAGAAAATACTTACTGAGTTGATCGAGGGCTGAGGGTGGCATAATTACTGTGGAAAAAATATTTAAAAACATTGAGAAAATAAAAATAAAAAGAATAGACAAAAGGCAAGATGCAATTCTTATTATATTTTTTATAAGTTTTAAACAGTATTTTAAGGTAGCTAAAATTTCACAATGATCTTTCAAAAAATCTTAATGTAATTTTACTTGGGAGGAATAAAAGGCTCCTGGACATTAATCTAATCATATTTAGCACCCTACTCCTATCACCCACACCCACTTAGCAAATCTGAGACAAGCCACACTTTAACTTTAGATTCTGGTGCCCACATGCAAAGTTAAGGGTTGGGGAAGGCTATAAGCTTCGCAGACATAGGGCAAGAAAGGTTACTATTCAAAATAAAAACAAGCACATACTCTTCCCTCCTTTCTCCACATCTGACCTGTCATTAGGCCCGGCTAGCATGGACACGGAGAAGCAGCGGTACTGTGTGGAGAAGCGATTCTGGAAGACCCGGGGAATCGGGTGGTCGAACATGTTGAAAGAGAACTAAAAGAAAGAGAGAGATGTTGGTATTAGAACAGAGATATTAAAACAAAAGGTTCTTTTCTTTTCTTTTTCTTTTTTTTTTAAAGAAAGAGTGAGAGAGGAGAGAGAGAGAATTTTTAATATTTATTTTTTCGTTCTCGGCGGACACAACATCTTTGTTGGTATATGGTGCTGAGGATCGAACCCGGGCCGCACGCATGCCAGGCGAGCGCACTACCGCTTGAGCCACATCCCCAGCCCCAAAAGGTTCTTTTCTTTCCTGGGACAGAAGTTTCACTGTGTTGCTCAGGCTGGTCTCAAACTCCTGGGCTTAAAAAATCCTTTGCCTCGGTATTCTGAGTAGCAGCAACTACAGGCACACACACTCGCTCCAGCTTAAAGGAATGTTACAACAAAAATCATCTTTTGTATATGTATATATGTATATGTCTGTATGTGTACTGAGGATTGAACCCAAGGTCTTGCTAATGGTAGGCAAGTGCTCTAGCATCAACCACCATACTATTTCTTTTTAGAATCTATTTTGAGACAGGGTCTCACTAAATTGCTCAGGCTGGCCTTGAACTTGTGGTCTTCCTATTTCATCCTCCTCTGTAGTTGGGATTACAGGCCTGCTCTACTGTGCCCAGCACATTGTGGTGATTAACACTAATAAACATGGCTGAGGAAATGAAGAACACAATGTGTTCTTGTGTTCTTACTTGATTACCCAGAATATTCTGATTTCCTGAGCAGCAAAATGAACAAATTCTTTCTGCTTCACCCAGTCTCACTCTCAGATCTAGCTTTCATCATTTTTGGGTAGTGTAATCTTACTAAAATATGAAACAGGACATCCCAAGAATGTCCATAACATTTTTCAGAGATGCTCCCCCCGCCCCCCGGACTATCAGTAGAATCAAGGCTGAACCTCCTGTACATCTCACAGACACTTGTTACTGACAGACCCAGTCTCTTAACCTATCATGTTCCTCCCTGGCAATTTCTTCCACCTAGAACTTTTTCTCTATTATTATTAATTTAAAAGTCATTTATTAATTAAAAAACATCTCTTACTAAGTAATCTGTGCCTGGTTCTGATTTAGGCATTACGGAAATACCACTATAGTGATGGTAACCAATAAAACAGATCTGCCTTGGTGGACCTGATGCTAAAGACAAAAGAGACATGCAAAAGAAAACATATGTGTCAGATAGCTTGAATACAAAAAGAAGGATAAGGGGACAGAGAACTCCTAGGCATGGGGTTTTAAACAGGTAGTCAGGAAAGACCTCCCTCCAGAGAGTCCAACATGCCATGAGAAGGAACAAGGCAGGAAACAGGGAAGGCATCCAGGCAGCAAGAAGGTCAGGTTCAAGTTATTTGTACTCCTTCCCCTGGCTTCCAATTACCATCCATTCCTTTCTCCAGGAAGCCTCCTTTCCTCTGCCAGTCAAGGGATAAGTACCCCTCCAGTGTGCTCTCATTAGCAGAGTAGGTACACATTGTAGTGCTATACCATTGTGCTTTCTTATATCAACAAGCAGGCCACCCCAGGGGGTGGAGGCCGGTGGTCCCTCTGGGTGTGCAGTGGGGCTGTGCACCTGTCCCCCCCCCCCGCCCCTCATCAACAAGCAAAATGTAGACATGGTGACAACAGAAAGTAAGATCCAAAGACAAAGTTTAGCAACATCAATTTGGGATCTTCTCAAAATATTGTAATTATTATGATGTTTAAGAAGAGAATGTAGGGCTGGGATTGTGGCTCAGTGGTAGAGCACTTGCCTTGCACATATGAGGCACTGGGTTTAATCCTCACCACCACATAAAAAAATAAATAAACAAAAAAAGTTACTATGTTCATCTACAACTAAAAATGTGGTGGTGGTGGAGGAGGAGGAGGAGTGTAAAATCTCCTAATAGGGTAGATATCCAAAAGAAATCAAAGTGATGGGGCTGGGGGTGTGGCTCAAGCCGGAGCGTGCTCGCCTGGCATGCACAGGGCGCTAGGTTCGATCCTCAACACCACATAAAAATAAAATAAAGATATTGTGTCCACCTAAAACTAAAAAAATAAATCTTAAAAAAAAAAAAAGAAATCAAAGTGAGATCTTAGCCAAAAGGTGGAAGCAACCTAGATAAATAAACAAAATGTGGTATACACAGATAAATAAACAAAATGTGGTATACACATATAATGAATGTTATTCAACCTTAAAAAAAACAAAAACAAAAAACTGGCACATGCTACAACACAGATGAACCTTGAGGGCATTATGTCCTCAAGTAAAATAAATCATAAAAGAACTTACACCATATGATTCCACTTACATGAGGTACCTACAACAATCAAAGTTAAAGACAAAAAATGGAATTGTGATTGCTAGGGACTGTAAGGAGAGGAAAATGAAGCATTATCATTTAACTGGAGAGTTTCACTATCACAGGGTAAAAATTTTGGGGGGTAGGGTACAGTGGTACACTCCAGTAATCAGAGCTACTTGGAGCCTGAGGCAAGAAGATCACAAGTTCCAGTCCAGCCTAGGCAACTTAGCAAGACCCTGACTCAAAAAAAAAAAACAGACAAAATTAAAAGTTACAATGGAAAAAATCTGATTAGAGCCAGAGGAGTGAGGAGCTCCTTAAAGCATCTCTCACTTTGGCTACCACATCTAAATCATTTCTTCCCTTTGCAACCTAAAAGGGGAAACCATGCAAAGGATACCTGACTTTAATAACCTGCCTCCAATTTATTCCCCCACAAACCTGACTTTCTGCTCCTCCTGCTGCTTCTGACTCCATTATTATTATATTATTATTATATTATAAAGGAAAGTTTACTTTCCTTTATAATATAATTCTGATGCACAGCACATTGCTTGGCACATATCAGGTATTCAATGTCTGTTACATGGAGGAACTTGAAAACAAAAATATAATTTCACAGTAAAACATTTGAGAGAAAATCTAATAACCATTCCTTGCTTTTAAGAAAATAAGCAACTGCTAGACAACGCTATCTATATACAAAGGTTATGAGCCAGTTTTTCAGCCAGATGGACTTGGTTTCAAATCTCCACTCCTCACTTACGTGACCTTGAGTAAACCATCTCTGTAAACCTCAGTTTTCACCGGGTTAAAATGATACCATTTTTGCCTCCAGGGGGATTGTATACAATAAAAGGGATAAAATGTGATGAAAGAATAAGGACATTAAAGAAAAACCGTGTAACAGAAAAAAGCGCCCAAAAACCATTTCCTACTATCGTTCGTTATTATCACCGAACACAACACGACTGTGTATATACAAGGGCGTGAAGCATAGGCTTAGAGCTCACCCTCCAAGGGCAAAAAGCTGTAGGTTCCCGTCTAGGGGGATGCTCCCTAGAGATTCTCCGTGGGGAGCGCCCGCTTCTGCCTCCACCCCCCAACAACATTCCCAATTAACTCTGAGTTAATGGAAACCTGTTGCACGACGAGCATTTGCGAGACCCACGAGTGGACACAACGATAGAATTTAACTTTCTACCTTCAAGGACCTCAAGTCCAGCTGAGAGGGAACGCAAACCATGCCCCAGGCAAGCGCAGATGAACAGGGGCATTCGTAGTTACGGGTCCAGCTCGTTCCAGAAGTGTCCGGGACTGGCAGACCCGCCGGCCTCAGGCCCGGGTGACTCGGCATCTCCGCCATCGTTCTGTCCATCTCTGCTGGGCCCTGATTTGATCCCTGTCCTCAGTCCAGCTCCCTGACACCTACCCAGCCTCGCTTACCATGATGTAAACCCTTCGTAGACGCCGCTTTTCTCAGAAAACGTTAGAACCAGAGGACTC